CAAAGAATTAGTCTTTCAAACCCAAGTATTATCGATTTTGGTGATAATGTCTTGTTACATTTCCTAACGTGCAGGACGGGCTATGTCTCACACCCCTACTCAATAAACTCAATGAACGCTTGTTGACTAGCTCACTAATGAGAAAAATGATTATAAATAAGCAATTACTGGGGAGATACAGGTTTTTTTTTCCCCCCTTCTAGATCCTTAAGCCAGCTTCTGAAGGATTTGCTGACAATAATCAGATTAACTTCTCCTCAATCTTGTCAAAAAGATTGTGGAAGCCCATTGTGTTCTACTCAGGCTTGGGTAGGGGGTAGAACCTCTGTCTAGATTGCCTAAGACTGGGGATGATCTGGGAATGAGAGTGGTCAAAGTCATGTACCCCAGCCCCTCATTAGAATGGTTCCACCTCTCATTACAATACTCATTTTTCTCCTTAATGGTTAACCAATCAAAGTTGGTTGCTACCCTCAGGGGAACACCCACTTTTCCAAGGGCATATAAGCATTGAGTGGTTTCCATGAGGGGTCTTTGGCATTTAAGAGTTCTACTGACCCCTTATACTAATTATCTGTCAGCATGATTAATACAATGATTAATTACCCGGGAACTACGTCTCTCAAACTTTTTATACATCACACTAAACTCCATTGGCTCCCTTTTGCCTTTAGCATGAAATCTAAGTTCCTCTGGTTGATTTTTAAAGCATTTCATAACCAACCCCAACCTATGTTTCCAATGATATTATACGTTACTTCCTCTCTCACACTCTACAGCTTGACCAGCTTTCCTCACATAGGACATGTCATCTCCCATCTCCACACCTTTACAATGACTGTTCTCCATGCCTGTAATGCATTGCAACTTCACCTTTGACTTTTAGAAATTCTTGTTTGCCTCAAAACTCTGATCAAGCTCCACCTTCTAAATGCAGCCTCTCCTTATGCCCTGAGCTGGGGTTGCCCTACCCCACCTCCCAATTTACTTTGTGCTTATCTTGTATGTACTTATTCACGTTCATGTTGTCCTCCCGGAGGGAATGCAAGCTTTCTGAGGACAAGGACTTTCACTTTTGTCTTTGTATCCCTAATACCTTGTGGATTGATTACTAATTGATCATAGCTCAGAAACGTTCTCTTTGTCTCTCTCTCACACACAGTTCTTGAAAATGGGGGTATTTATTAAATACCTAGAACTAAAAAATGCATTAACTACCTTGACAATTTTAGCTAAGAAGCACATATGTCAATCTACTGAAGTAACTTTTATATGTGAGAAATTTGATTTTAATGTAGAACTCAAAAAATAATTCACATAAGTATTCATATAAAAATGGACATAGGATACATATTTAGGATTATAGATCTAGAAAGAGATAGTGCCTCAGAGAGCCATTAAGTCCAATACCTTCATTTTACAGATGAGGAAACTAAAGTCCAGAGAGGCTGAGATTTTCCTAAGGTCTCACAAATTTTAAGAGTCAGAGATGGGATTTGAACTGCCGTCCTCAGATTCCTCTGAACCATGCTACCTGACTCCACTGGGCCCCAAAAGATAACACTTGGTTTCAGGGCTCTAAGACACATAGAAAAAAGTCTCCAGTGACCACACACCTCACCTCTAGCCACAAAGAAGAGTGAAGGATGCATCTATGCCTGTATTCTTCTATTTTGCTTTCAACATCACAACTTCTTTTCTATGACTTCTTGTCACCCTTCAGCTTCTCTTGGAGGTTGGGGATGAAGTTGCTTTTCTCCATCTTCTGCAACAGCCCTGTGGTTCATTTTGGAATACACTGCATAGGGCCAGCTGAAAATCTATCCCATTTCACAAAGAGAATCATCTCCCTCATCCAGTAACATTGTTTGAAGTACCCTGAGACCCTTACGAGGTCTTAGCTTATGCTCCCCTTACACAGCAGGTGAAATCCATCTAGCTATCTAGGAAGTATGAGGTTAACAGCGGGGAAAATATAAGCAAAGTAGAGTATGGTACACAAAAAATGCAGTGGTCTGTGTGAACCATAAAGCTGAATAATGCATGATGCTATTTTTAAAAATTGCGAACACGTACTTGGCTGTGTTAATAGGAGCATGTCTTGGCACTAACTATTCAAGGATTGAGATGTGATCCTTTTGCTGGTTAGCATCCATTTGACCTGAGAATGTCTTCTTCTCTCTAGTTTTCTTCTCTGCATTAAGAGATGTATAGAATTTAAATGAATAAGTGTGCATGGAGTAGCTACTATATGTCCATAATTGTAATGGAGAAAATCAGATAATGTCAACCTCAATGTAAGAGGGGAAATAGGAAGTCTGGAAAAGAGGCAAAAAAATCAGGGGCGCTAAACTGAGATAACAGAAGGCCAAGAAGTACATGAAGGGTAAATACATAGAGAGGATGTTGACCAGTTATGCTTTAAATTCATAAACAATAAGAGGAAATAACATGAGGAAAATGATATTAATAAGACATAAGGAAGTATTTAGAGGTCTCTAAGAAACTGAATACTGGAAATGGATTATGGGGGGGAGAAGTCAGGTTCTTTCCCCTGGCAAGTCCCTTAACCTCTCTGGGTCTCAGTATCCTCCCATCTTGAAAAACATAGAGTTGAACTGAGATGATTTATATGGTCCATTTCAGTTCTAATATTCTATAGCTTTTGAAATTTATTAAGGTCCTAAAATTTATACATATAGAGAATGAGATGAAAAAGTCAACAAAAAAGGCATAACAATTTACTGCAGATAATCTCAATCCAGTTACAGAAAATGTGGAGTGGCAAGAATAAACAGACACTTACTAGGTGTGTGACCCTGGGCAAGTCATTTAACCCTGTTTGCTTCAGTTTCCTTGTCTGTAAAATGAGTTGCAGGAGGAAATGCAAACCACTCCAGTATTTTTTTTTTGCAAGAAAACCTCAAAAATAAGTTATGAAGAGTCAGACATGACTAAAACAACTGAATAATAACAAAAAGAACAGATAGCTCTTTCTTGATCTTCACTCAATCTCGGTTCGTCTTCCTCCTCCTGCCTGTTAAGTATGGATGACTACCAAAGATCTATCCTGCCTTCTTCCCTTTTCTCTTTGCGTACTCTCTCTCAGCAATGTTATCTTTCTGAGTGGGTTTAATTATCATCTCTGTGAATATGACTCCGAACCCTTCCGATCTCTAGCTTTAGACCCAGCCTCTCCCATAAGCATCAGTTCTGCTTGCTGGGCACCTCCACCTGGATGTCACACTGACACTTAAAATATGTCCAGCAGTGGACTAACGTCACCTTCCTTCTAAACTATGCCCTTCCTCTTTACCTCCTCATTTTTGTCAGTGGCACCATCATCTTTGTTATTACCCAGGCTTGAAACCTTGGAATCATAGGACTACAGTTTGGAAGAGCCTTCAGAGGCCATCTGGCCCAACCCTTTTATTTGGCTGTTTTTGTTCAGTCATTTTTCAGTCATGTCCAACTCTTCATGACCCCATTTGGGGTTTTCTGGGTAAAGACGCTGGAGTGATTTGCCATTTCCTTCTCTAGCTCATTTTATTTACAGATGAGGAAACTGAGGAAAACTGGGTTAAGTGACTTACCCAAGGTCACACAGTTAGTAAGTGTCTGAGGCAGCATTTGAAATCAGGTCTTCCTGACTCCAGGCCCAGCACTCTATCCACTGCACCATCTAGCTGCCCCTTATTTTACAGATGAGGAAACTGAGGGATAGAGAGGTTAAATGACTTGTGTAAGGTCTTCTGTCACTGCCTACATCAAATCAGTTCTCTAGTCCTTTTTATTCTATTTCTGGAATATCTTTAATGCCTATTCCATAGAATCACAAAACCTGGTAGTCATTTGATCCTATCCATATCTGACCAGAAATCCCCTCTATAATATCTCTAGTAAATGGTCATCTCAGTCTCCACTTGATGGGGAACTTCCTCCCTCCCAAGGCAGCCCATCCTGGGTTGGGCCAACTCCCATGGACACCACTCTATTTTAGGACTTCATCTTTAAATCTCATTCTAAATAATCCTTCTGGTCTCATTTCACACCATTGCTCTTCACACATTGGCCAAACTAGATTACTCGTCATTCCCTGAACTCATCCTGTTCTGCCTCTGTGCATGTGTGCTTATTACTCTCCTGTCCTGGATTCCTCTCTTCACATCAACCAGCTTCAGCTACTGACACATTTCTCCTCCTTCAAAGAAGTCCAGTTCAGGTGTCACCTTTTCTCATTTCATTCTGTTTGACTTCCATATATTTAATCATGCCCTATTTTCTTTTTTTTTTTCCTCTCTTATTTTCTATTTTTCCTACTGGACTAGGGATTCCATTGGTACTGGGAGCTCCTGGTGAGCAACTTCCAGGAGCAATGCAAGATGGGCATCTTCCCTGCATTTCGTCCTCCTAGAGATTTGCCTAGAAGACTAAGAGCTTAAGTGACTTGTCCAGGGTTAGATAGTGGGTGTCAGATGGGAGGCTTGGACCCGGCTCTTCCTGGCTCTCCAACCACTATTCAATACAGTTCTCACTTCCTAATATTCCTCTATCATTTATGTTTATTTCTCATCTCCCCTACTAGACTGTACACTCTTTGAGGGCTTGGATTATGTCGTTTTTTAAAAATTGCATCCTCAGGGGATAGGGCAAGGTGTGGTAGGCTGTAAGGTCTTCATGGACATTTGAAAAATTGAACTGAAATGGGCAAACATTTAGACAGAGCCAGGCACTGCATTATGAGGAGGAGAAAACAGAAAAGGAAGTTTTTCTTGGCTACTGAACAGCGTAGAGCAACAGGTCACTACGGTCACTATAGAGCAAAGGAGACTCCTGAGAGCATCGCACCAGCAGTGGAGCAGATTGGTATCAGGAGGATTATGAACTTCATATTTCATATTCTCAAATCTTAATGAATAAGTGCTCATAGCAATATGCTGTGGAATTTAGAGTGACATGTTTTAATCCAAGAATTCTTTCTGTCTTTCTTTCTTTTTTAGCCTCCTTTCAGCTTCACAATGGACTCCCTTGTGACAGCCAATACCAAGTTTTGCTTGGACTTTTTCCAAAAGCTAAGTAAAGGCGATGAACCTGCAAACATCTTTATCTGTCCTCTGAGCATTTCAGCTGCCTTCGGCATGATTAGCCTTGGGGCTAAACGCTCTACTGCAGACCAGATCAATGAAGTAAGTGCCTGTTGTCATGTTTTACATACCTCTGTGCTCATCGCAAGTACTCATACAAAGCTGTTCTTTGCTGTTGTTGTCGTTTGCCCTTCTGAAGAGGACCATGACATCAGGGAGGTGATGCCAAGACAAGCAAGTGAACTGGATTTAAGAGAAAGAGGGCTATGCAGAGTCACTAGCCTCACTTTCTGCTCCTCTGGAGCCAGATACTTAGGTCAGGATGACTGGAAGTGGCCCCAAATGGGGCGGAAGACCTTGGCCTTTTAAAGCTAAGGTCTTTAGCAGGTCTCAGTTTGACTGAGGCAATACTCATTTAGTGATTAAGGCAAAGAACGGCCTCTTTAACTTAGTTCAGGAAAAAAAAAAACTGGGAGGAAAAGACCTTCAGGGTTTCTGGCCAAAACAGAAACAATTCCAATTTACATTCACTCACAGTCAAACAGGGCCCAAACAATGACCAAGTGGGGTTTGGCCTTGGACCTATCCTCGGTCAATCGGTGAGAGCCAGAGTGATCTGGATTTAAGGCAGGATCCTCTAGACAGAAATCAAGTTTGCTAATAATGCTCCTGGAAAGAGTAATGATAAGCTGGCATTTAAATATGGGTTTTATCAATAACAAATTCCATTCACTTATATGATTTCATTTGATTCTCTCTAAACAATCCCTATTATATAAAAGTATTATCCCCATATTACACTGGGGTCAGGGAGTTGACATGGTTGAGCCAATGCCAGACCAAGACAAGACGGTGGTGAGGAAAATTGGGATTTCAACATGTTAAAACCCCTAACCCAAAAATCCTTCTGCTACAGAATAGGGTCTCTTATCAGTCCCTGTGCAGACACATCTTTGTGAAGATTTGGAGAATGATGACACATTTGTGCCACAGATAGCTTCCTTCTTTGAACCTGGGAGCACCAATACTTACGGTTCTAACTGAATTGATTCCAAATGAAGGGACAAGAATTGTCTTGTTTCTGTGGCAAACACAATGGAAAACCTAAACTCAAGTGGTCAGGTCAGTACTTCTACAAGCTGGGTACCCTTCCCAAAGAACTAGCTACTTATCCAAGGGAGGCAATATAAACTCCACCAGGGTCCCATTGAAACATAGTGAAAGAGAATTTATCAAAAGTGCCCTGGAAAAAGTTGAGTTGATTTCATCTAGGTTTTGCAGAGTCCTTTTTCTCAGGTAGGGCCCCATTCTGTTTATACTTTACATTTTTAGAGCCCAAGATTCATTTCTTGCTATCTTTTAGACTCAGTATCTTTATCTATATGATAAAAGTTACGCACTGGGTGCAGTCAGGAAGACGAGTTCAAATTTGGCCTCAGACACTCGCTAGCTGGGTGACCCTGGACAATTCAATTAACCTCTGCCTGCCTGTTTCTTCAATTGTAAAATGAGGAATATAACAGCATTTATCTCCCACGGCTGTTATGCAGATCAAACGAGATAATATTTGCAAAGCACTCAGCACAGTGCCCGGTATATAGTAAGTACTTATCCTGTCTGAATAAGAGTCCAGTGTAAGAATCCTTGGATCCTTCACTCTGCTTAGGCACTGACCTTACTATCTTTTACTCCTTCCTTCAGCACCTAGCTCATATTGCCTCTGCCTACAATGTCCTTCCTCCTTCTTCTCCTTTGATCTAAGTCCTTCAATCACCAACTGTATTCCTACCTCTTCCACAAAGCTTGTCAGGCCATGGTGATCTGTCCCTTCTCTGAATTCCCAGGAGTGGCACTGATGGTCTGTATCATTCATGTGGTACTAACTATGTCCTGTTTGGCATTGCACATTCTTTTTCTGTTTGTATATTCTGTACATTCATAGACTCAGGGACTTTTAGAACTGGAAAGGGCCTAGGCTAACCTTAGAATTTATAGACAAGAAAATTGTGGCTGACAGATCAAGTCCAAGGTCAAACAGATGAGATGGTTAGTAGATGGGCTGAGACTAGAACCCTAGGTTTCTTGCCTCCCAATCTAGTGTTTTTGTTCCACTGTCTCTTCAACTGTATAGTTAGCTCCTTGAAGGCGGCACCTCAGGGCTAAAAAATAATAATGTTTCATTTAGGTAGTGCTTAACATCCATTATTTCATTTGATTCTCACAATAACTCTTTGAGGAAAGTGTGCAAGTATTATTACCTCCATTTTATAGATGAGGAAATTAGATTCATAGAGGCTGAGATTTTCCGGAGGCTTCACAACTAGTAGTGCCAGAGTGAGGACTCCAACACAAGGCTTTTTTTTCTTAATTGGGGGAAGGGGTGAGGAAGAAAGAGGGCAGGAGAAAGAGAGCAAGAGGAAGGAGGATACTCACATTCATATACGTAATATTTATAAAGTGCGTTACAAGGTGCCATTTGATCCTCGAAATAACTCAACCTCCAAAAGTTTATGTACGCAGTTGTCACTCAATAGCTTTGTAAAGAATCAAACTGACTAGACCAGAAGAGACTATATATAAATGCTGCTAAAAGGAGCTGGTTTGTAAATCAGTCAATCAATGAGCGTTAATTAAGCACTCACTCTCTTCTAGGTACTGTCTTCTAGGTTACTTACATGTGACATACTGGGACTCTTTTTGAAATAATTGTTATTGATGTCTTTTGTTTTTACATCACAGTCATTACTGGAAATACCCCATCTCTGATTTAACCTTCCCTTGTAACAAGCAAATCAATTAAGGAAAAACACTTGATAAAACGGCTTCAGCTGACAATGCATATAATATTCTGCCAGAGTAGTTTCTTACCTCTCTGCTCTGAGGAAGAGAAAGTATGTTTCATTTTCTGTTTTTCTGGACTATTATTAGTTTTTCTATTTTCCCTACCCCCTTCCTTCTCTTTTTTTCATTTTCCTTCCTCCCTCCCTTTCTTCTTCCCTTCTACTTTTGGTCAACCAGACCTGTGATTTCATGGGCATAGGAATCTCTCTTTACTAATGCAGGTCAGCACTTACACTGCAACTGAGTCTTTTTCTTTTTTTTTTTTTTTTGGTGAGGCAATCGGGGTTAAGTGACCTGCCCTGGGTCACATGACTAGCAAGTGTCAAATGTCTGAGGCTGGATTTGACCTCAGGTCCTCCTGACTCCAAGGTCAGAACTCTATCCACTTCTCCACCTAGCTGCCCCAACTTACAGTCTTAACAAGGGTTGAGATGTTAAGTGACTTTTCCTGGTTGACATCGCTTATAATATGGCAGAGGAGGATCCTGAGCTCAGCTCTCCCTGATTCTGAGTCTGGGTCTCCATTCAGTAGTCCACAACACCTTCAGTTTTTCATTCTAGCAATTTATTGACTATGGAATTGATCAATCAATCAACAAGCATTCATTAAGCTCTTATCATGTGCCAGGCATTGTGTTAAGTGCTTTGTATGCAAACACAGAAGTGATACAGTTCCTGCCCTTAAGGGAGCTTGTGTTTGAGTGGGAGAGACAATGTGAACATGTACAGACAAATACAGAAGCACATACATACCAAACAGATACAAGGTAATCTTGGAGGGGAAGTCTGGCCTTCCTGACTCTAGGGCCAGCGCCCTAACCACTGCACTATCTTGCTGCTACTTGGATCTTAGATGGTGCCCTTTCACAAGGTCCTAAATGACTGTTTACTTAGGGCAAAACCTCACCAAAGGAAACCCTCACCTAACTTCTGAGCAGGCTTTGAACCTCAGTCTGAATTGCAGAAAGTCAAACATTGGAATGGACTTAAACCTCTAGCCCAAGGCCCTCGTCTGCAGATGCAGATATTAAAGCCCAGGGACAAGGGAGGGAAGAAGGGACTGCCACAGCTGCCACAAGTGGCACTCACTCTTCTCATGTCTCTTCCAAGGCTTTGAACCATGCTTCCTTCAGTTTCTCTGTCTTGACAGTGGCTACAGTGGATGATTAATAAATAAATGGAGATTTTCTGCCAAGAATTTTTTTTTAAATGGACGCTTATTAAAGAGTTTGAAGTTAGAGAAAACTATAGAATCCATACTAATTTCCAAGAGAACGTAAGCCTCTTGAGGGCAGGGACTGTTTCATTTTCATCTTTGTGTTGCTACTGCCTAGCACGGTGCCCGGCACATCCTAAGAGTTTAACAAAGGCTTATTAATTGATTACAAAAGCCTTTCTGAAGGACAATATTAAATTTCCTGTAACATTTGTAACATTATGGCCATTTACCTAATAATCGAAATGATGCAGTTTGGCGATTGCTGGGAACCTGGAAAGGTCAGGGTACAGGGGGGCATCTGCCTGGAATGAATTCATGCACTCACTATCTTCCAGGCAAGGGTCAAATTTTATTGTAAAGCCAATAGAAGTGGGCAGGATTCCTAACGAACTAGCAACTTAATGGGGGTGGGACTATACAATATACTGATATACATTATACCGATCAGGGACAGTGAAAGGATCTGGATGGAATTAAGGAGTAGTAAGTAGTCTGAAGTGGGCCATGTATGACAGTGAAAGGAATGTCAACTAAGCTAGGTGGGCTGCAGTGGGCCAGGTACCTTGGGCAGAGGAGCTAGTGGTCTGGGCTGCTGAAATGGATGGGAAAATTCAGGGACTGGATTGCTTTCAAAGACATGGTCTTTTCCTTTTAGGGGTTCAGGTCCCATCACTCGATCACTAACACTTGGAAAGGGCTTTAGAATCAGAAAACTAAGGTTATGTGCATTTACCTAATTAAGTCCTAACATTTAAAAAGTTCATTAGAACCAGAAAACCTGGGATCGAGCCACAGCTCTGTCAGCTACTGTGTGTGACCCTGGGGAAATCACTTAACAACTTTTATTAATAGAGGCATTGGGTCCTGAATGAAGAAGATAATAGGCCTACTATCTTTTGCCACGATCTGGCTACATACAAACTCTCACGTTCGCTTCTGTGCAAGGATATTAAGAAACTGGAATGTTCCCAGAAGACAGAAGCAATGTTGATGAGAGGACTGGAAAACATTCCCGATGAGGACAGATCTATGTTTAACTTTGGAGATGCTTAGAGAGGATATGACTATATTCAAATCTTCAAAGGACTGACAGAGAGAAGGCAGAATTAGACTTGTTCTGCTTGGCCCCAGAGGGCAAAATGAGGAACAATGTGGGAAGTTACACAGTGGCAGATTTGGGCCTCTATTTGGGGAAATATTTCCTAATAATAAGAGCTATCAGTGCTACCCAAGACTGCCTCACAAGATAGTGAGTTTTACATTTCTGGAGGTCTTCAAGAGAAGATTGGATGACCAAGTGGGAATACTGAATAAGGTATTGATCATTTTCAAGAATGGGTTGGAATAGATTAACCCTGAGGTCTTTTTCAACCCTTAGATTCTGTAAAAGTGCCTTCACTTACAACACCTCCTCTGATTCTAATAACAACCCCGAAAAAGGTTGGGGGAGGAGGGGAGATACAGACACAGTTCTTACTTTATAGATGAAGGAATTGAGTATTCAAGAGGTTAAATGACTTTCCTAAAGTTATGGACTATTAAGGGATGGTCAGGATTAGAAATTAGATAGTCAGGTCTTAGAAATGAAGACTTCTGGCTCTTGGCCTAGGTGTTTTTTTTTTTAATTACATTATATTCACACTCCTACTCTGCAGGTGCTACACTTTAATGAAGTTTCACAAAGTAAAGGCACAGAACCTGAAATTTCTTCAAAAGGAGCAAGTCAAGGAGACCAAGGGGAGCAGCATGAGACGTCAGAATCTCCAAATTCACAGGTATCTATCTTATAATAAACTGATCTCCCTCCTCAATGAAGATGGTCAATTGTTTGCTGCCTGAGTTTTCTTTGAAGATAAAAGCTCAGGGCAGCAACCAACCAAAAAACTATTATAAGACCAACAATATCTCTGTGATTCCTCTCATCTGACAGTCTCTGAGTTAGCAGATTTGTTTATTTTTTTTTCTGAAACTGCAGAAGAATGATGGCTAGTTGCTAGAAAGGCAGGAATTGCTACTCAGTCAGATGTCTAAGGGTGATATTACCCTAGATGAGCTGTGGCAGGACACAGAAGGCTCAAGGAGGTATCCAGTGATTCTCACCCGATAAATGCAAAGAATTTTTCTTTGTCCTATATCAGAAATGTGGCTGCTGCAGTAAGTTAAGAAATTCTCTTGGGGTCATCTTGTAGAATTCAGGGGATGATGGATAGTAGGTTCCTGTCATGATCCTGATATCCAGGTAAGGGGATTGTATGAAGTTTGGCAATATTTTATAGTGTACCTTTTAAGGGCAATATGCTAGGATGAAACAAAATTACACGTATGGAGCTGTCTTTAAAGTATTCATTGTTACCTAAGTATTCCATAGTATAATTAACATTTTAAAACTGCATAGATATACTGCTATACTTGGATGAAATTGAATAATGACAAATGGGTGTCTGAAAAGAGTGTATGTCTTCAAGGGACAGATTAATGACATTTTGTCTAATTTTATTATGTCCGATCAAGAATACAAAGTCTGTGAGTGATGGGTATAGAGATTCTGACTCCTACTTTGGGAAGCTGCTCAAGAAGTTGGACACGATAAAATCCGATTATACCCTGAGTATGGCCAACAGGCTGTATGGAGAGCAGGAATTTCCAATCTGTGCTGTAAGTAAAACACAGCTAGTAAGTACATTTTGAAGTTCTTCACCTTCCTGGGCAGTGTTTTACAATGCTCCCCTTGAGGGCAATGCAACAGATGGACAAAAGAGCATGGTAGAGGTGATGACTGGTAACCATTTGTGCCTGTGTGTCTCAACACTGCACTATGCTTGTCTTTCCCACACAATGGAATGGATTGCCCCTTGCAGCTCCTGCTTTCTATTGGTAGCTCTGTCACTGAGAATCGTGTGCTTGTCCTGCTAGTTCTGAGAAAGGTACCATAATTGCTGCATACTGGGTCATTCTTGTCCAACCCTAGTTTGGCAGAAGTCCACAACTAACTCTGCTGTCACACTGAAACAGCTCCAATTTATGCTCTTGTAAGTCCGAGTATTTCTTTTGCTCATTATTCTATTTCTCATGGCCTAATCATCTGGCATAAGCTGTGGTCCTACGTACTGCATGGTCCACCCTGAAGCCTTCCTGCACTGTGAGAGAGGGGAAAAGGCTTCAGTCAAGATGTCAGGGCACCATACATCTTGTCTACAGGGTGAAGATGGGGGCCAGCCTGGGAAGCAGAGGTCAGTGACCAGAGATACAGTTCTTAGAACTAAAAACGTAAGAGAGTAATGATGTCTACAATAAAGGCCAAAGTCAGTAGCTGAGGTTGCCAATTACAGGACTTCAAGGGCTAGAGGTAGTAGTATCTTATGGATCTACTTCTCTGAAGAGGAAGCCAGGTAAAAAATAATGCAGGAATATAATAAACAAGGGAGACGGTATGTATGTAACAGGAGACTAGGCTTGAGAGTGAGGAAATACAGTAGTGATTCTGAATCAGTGAGGAACAAGGAGAAGCATTCTAATTTACCATACTTCCCATTCTACCCCCTCACCCAGTCTTGGTTTCGTTCCAGCAACTATCTTCTCTAGAAACAATGGATTCTTTGTAGTGGTGGACCCCACCAGTGTCCATTTGTTCCATTTCAGCTGATGGTGAGCCATTTTAAATATAGAGGCAATATGGTATAGCAGACACAATATGAGAATTGGAATTAGGAAGGCCTGGGATCATCAAATCACACCTCAGATACTTACTAGCTCTGTGACACTGGTTAAGTCACTTAACTTCCCTGGACCTTGCTCTTCCTCTGGAAAATGAGAAGATTGCACTATATGGCCTCTAATATTCCTTCCAGCTTTAAATCAACGATTCTATGATAAAGCCTTACGTAGCCCTAACAACTCCTACAACAAGGAGGTATGCCTTTTCTATTCAGGTGTACCACAATGCTTTGGAATCAAAACTAAATTTGCAAAAGGATACTAAGATGCAAGAGTTGGAAAGGACTGACACCCCAAGGTATTTCCTAATTTACAGCAGAATCAAACTCCCATCTTACAAATAAAATGAGATTTTCTTCACTGGGTTTTGATTCTCTATAAGTAATAATAATAATAATATTAATAATGATGATGCTGTAGTCTGTCACTTAAAAAAAAATCTTGCTTGTATACAGGCCACAAATGAAACGTGGAATTATAAGGATATTGGTTTGGATAGGAATATATCATTCTCACTTTGCCCTAATTTATGGCCATGCCAATTCAATGCAATTGCTCAAATGGTCCTGTCTGATTCAGAATGGATATAGGTAGGAATGGAAAGATCCATTTCTATCATATTCAGTGACTATCGATATTTTCTGAGATTGATTTCCTTCTATTATTGGGTTACTTAGCTGGTGATTTAGTAATTGTATGTGATTTTATTGTAATATCTTCTACTTTCCTAATCTAACAGGCATATTCAGATAATGTGATGGAATTTTACCATACAAGCATTGAAAGTGTGGATTTCCGAAAAGACACAGAAAAATCCAGACAACAGATTAATTTCTGGGTTGAATGTCAAACTCAAGGTAAGAAAGTGGGAGTCAATAGTATGAATTGGACAGCTAAGGACTTTTAGATTGTCATGTTTATCACATCTAATTCAAACCTCTTCATTTTAAAGATGAAATTATTTGGGTCTGGAAAGAATAAGTAATCACTAAGTCATAAGGAAATAAATAATAAAAGTAATAACAATGACAATAAAAATTGACATCTAAATGGCACTTCATGGTTTGAAAAGCCTTTGACAGAACTATCTCACTGATCCTCACAACTACATTATGATTAGGGCTACAGATGTTATCATTCTCATTTTACATGTGAGAAAACAGGCTGATGGAAGAGGTTAAGTGTCTTATCAAGGGTCATGGAGCCAGAGTTGGAGCTGGGATTCTAACTCAGTTCCTGGACTTCAGAGTTCTTAAGTCTCTCAAAGCTGTCTTTCTGATGTTGCTGTTACTGCATAAATGTTGTTTTTTCCAGTTCAGAACCAATGCTTTGCTTGCTGCATCACACTGGCAACTTCAATTCTGTGTTGTAACTACTTTATACTTAATAAAAATGAAAATTCTGAATTTCTTGCTGGTGTTCTCCTTTGTCATGTGGATGATGTTTTCCTCATTATGCAATTAGTAATCTTAAAGAAAAACATCTAGGTTCCATTGACAACCATGTTGGCACTAGCCAAACAATTTTTCCTTAAGCATCACCAACCACTTAACAGAACCACTTATTCGCCAATTTTTCTCATACTTTTTTCCAATATTGTATATTTTGTCCTGAGCGAAGAGGGATACTGGAGAGAGTGGAAAAAGGTAGAGATCTAAATGTAGTGTGGGGCAGCTAGGTGGCGCAGTGGATAGAGCTCCAGCCTTGGAGTCAGGAGGACCTGAGTTCAAATCTGACCTCAGCCACTTGACACTAGCTGTGTGACCCTGGGCAAGTTACTTAACCCCATGGCCTAGCCAAAAATTAAATAAATAAATAAATAAATAAATAAATAAATGTAGTGTGAATAGAATATTTCATGAATTGAAAAAGAGAAGCCACATGGATACACATAACTCTTCAAAAAACACCCAGTCCATGAAGAGGCAGGAGAACTGCTCATTAAAATTGGGACCTCTCCCTTTTTTGTCACAGCTTTGACTGTGCTTGGGTCACTAGTGGGTGGGATCAAAATACTTCAAATTTTTAAGTCTAAATTAAGAAGTCACTGGACAGGACCTTCTAGGGATGAGGCCTCAAAAGTGGTCATTCAACTCCAATCACATTTAAATATTACCTTTAAATACAGGTTGCTCACCTATAGCCTAGAATACCAACCACATTTTTCTCAGGCTTAATTACTGTGATTTTGTGGGCTATGACCCTGTAATAATAAAGTTACACCTCTCTCCTCTTGGTCCTCTTTCCAACTTTATTCCCTCTCTCATAATTATGTATTCTTATGGTTATTCCTAATGACCAGGTTACAGATTGTCATGTTATAGATGAGCAAAATGAGCCTGAGAGTGCTAAAGTGATTTGCTTAAAGGTCACACCCAAACTCCAGTCTTCCTATTCCAAGACCAGTACTCTTTCTATTACCTTCACTGTCATGTTTGGGAATAAGATGTTGTCTTTCTGATATACTAATAATATGTTTGTGTTTAAGTTGGTAGAATAAGAAACTTAACTCTGTTAAGCTTAAGACTATTGGGTCTTATGTGTGAATGCATCTGTATGCATGTGTGTGGGTTAATGCATCTGTTTATTTTCTTTATTTTTATTTTTATTTTTTTTTTATTTTTGGCAAAGCAATGGGTCTAAGTGACTTGCCCAGGGTCATAAAGCTAGTAAGTGTTGAGTGTCTGAGGTCCGATTTGAACTCAGGTCCTCCTGACTCCAAGACCGGGGCTCTATATTTCTTTATTTTTCAAAGAACATTTATTTTCTCTTAAACCTCACAAATTCAAAGAAAAAAAAAAGAAGAAAAACAGCATCCTTGCAACAAATAGGTATGGTCAAACAAAATAAACTCCCACACCATTCCTGTCCAAAATAAATGTCTGATTCTGTACCCTCGGTTCATCATTTCTCTATCAGGAGGTGGGTGACATGTTTCATCCATCAGTCCCTTGGAATCATGGTTGGTCACTGAATTGATCAGAATTCTTAAGTCTCTCAAAGCTATCTTTCTGAAGTTGCTGTTATTGTACAAATGTTGTTCTTCTGGTTCTGCCCACTTCCCTCCGCATGATCACAGATATTAAAAGAAACCAAATTGATCTATAGAGCCAAATTCTAGTCCTAGTTAGTGTTCCTGCCAGCTAGTTATGTGACATTGGGTAAGTTGCTGAAGCTTACAGGCTCTAGTGCCCTCATCTGTAAAACAAGAGAGCTGAGCTTCCTGCTTGATGACTATGTTCCCAAATCTACCATTCTGTGGTTCTGAACACTATATACACCTCCACCCTCACCTCCCAACACAGAAAACCAGCTGTTTGGTACAGGGCTGAGAATGCACGGCATCTTGTGATGAAAAGGTGTATGATCCAAGTCTGTTTCTTGCTGATGCCACAAACCAGGTTGGACAGCCTTAGTTCTAACCACATTTGTGCAATATGCTAGCAAGCCCTCTGATTGACCATCAGGCTACTCAATGGAATTTCTTGTATTTTTTTAAATTTTTAGGCAATTGGGGTTAAGTGACTTGCCCAGAGTCACACAGTTAGTAAATGTCTAGTGTTTGGTCTGAGGCCGGATTTGAACTCAGGCCCTGACTTCAGGGCCAGTGCTCTATCCACTGCACCACGTAGCTGCCCAGGATTTCTAATAATGGAGCTATGCATGCTGTCTTTTATTTATCCACAGACATTTACTGAGCTCTTGCTATATGTAAAGCACTGCTCTAGGCTCTGTGTGGGATACAAGAATGTTTAAGGCATCCAGGGAACTTATAACCCAGTTGCAGAGATAGGATGTATACATAATATGATAGAATTTAGAGCTGGAAGAGGCTACAGAGGTCATCTCATCCACCTGCTTATTTGGAAATGAAGAAACCAAGGCTCAGAAAGGCATGACACAAGACTCACAAACAGTAATTACTAGAGCTGAAATAGGAGGACAGGTCCTTTGACTCCAAAGTCAGTGCTCTTTTGATGTGAACACGTCTCCTCCTTTAAATAAAAAAGTCAGTAACAATGTAAGGCAGAGTATTCTAAGAGTCACTTAAATGGTCCATCTAATCCTGGCTATGGGGGAGATATTATATTTTATGAATTCAAGTCATTTGGGCCAGATAATACTAAAAGAACTGCAGATGTGCTTTCTAGTAATCTTCAACAGATCACGGAGAATGGAAAGGATCAGGGCAGCTAGGTGTCACAGTCACTTAATCCCAAATGCCTAATTAAAAAAAGAGAGAGAGAGAGAGAGAGAATGGAAAGGACCAGATGTTGCAGGACCAAAGAGAGACAAATATGGGGTTGGCAACTTCAAAACCTGGTGAAATTCTAAAGCCTACTATGTTATTAAAAGTAGAGTTAGGAAGCATTTAGAAAAAGAAGTGGTGATCACACAACAAAAAACAAACCCAAACAGCTTTCTCAAGAACAAGTCATGCCAGATGAATCTCATTTCTTCCTTTCACAGAGGAACAAGGCTGGCCAGTCATGGACAGGGTTATAGTTGACCTAGAATTCAGCAACACATTTGACAAAAGTCTTTCCTACCACCCCTGTGGATAAAATGGAGAGATGCAGACTAGACAACAGTACAGTTATGTAGAATCAGACTGTTGAATGGCAAGATCCAAAGAGTAGCTGATTAATAGATTGATGTCAGCTTGGAGTAGGGTCTCTAGTTTAGTGCCTCAGAGATCTATCCTTGGACCTTTACTGTTCCATTTAAATTTACTAATTATATTTACTATATTATATATGAATATATGACTTATTAGTTATGTTTTATATATATAATGTATTAGTTATATTTAAATGTGTTCATATATAATATATTGGTTATGTTTATTATATTAGTTATACTTATTATTTCCATAATATTTATTAGTGACTTAGATAAAGACATAGGTAGCATGCTTATCAAATATGCAGCATTGGCAGAGGAATCTGAAACAAAGCTGGGAGGGGCAGCTAATAAGTTAGATAAGAACCGAGACTTAAAAGACCTCAAAAGGCTAGAAGTTTGAGCTCAGTCTAATAAAACGAAACCTAACAGGAACAAATGCAAAGTTCTGTGCCTGAATTAAAAAAATAGAGCATGGACTGGATGAGACTAGCATGGTGAGAAATTAGTTTACGTGAAAGAGACTGGAGTGCTTCAGTTGACCTGAAATCACAGTAGGAGTCAGCAGTGTTGATCCAGAAGCTAAAAAAGCAGGAAAAACCATCCTAGGCCGAATTAAGAGTGTCATGGTGTCTAAGTAACAGCCCCACTGTACCCTGCCCTGGTTATACCATATCTTGAATATTGTGTTCAGATTTAGATGACACCTTTTGGGAAAGAAATTGAGAAACTATGTGCAGAAATGAGTCACCAAGATGGTAAAAGGACTGGAGAACATGCCACAGGGGGATTAGTTGAAGAAGATGGAGATGTTTTAGCTAGAGAAGAGAAGACCTGGAAGGGACATGCTAGCTATTACGGATTTAAAGGGCTGTCATGTGGAAGAGGGATTACATTTGTTCCATTTCTCCTCAGAAGGCTGAATAACTATTAGGTGTAAGCTGCAAAGAAGATTTCATCTAGACATAAGGAAATCTTCCTAACAATTAAGAGCCAATGCAGATTGACTTTGGCTGGCTTGGGAGGGAAGAGTTCTTGATTTCTTGGTGATAAATGACTCCTTACTGGGTATGGTGTGGATTAAACAGTCTCCAATGCCTCTTCCAGATTCCATGACTCTGTGATCTTGCTGTTCTGTCTTTAAGATCAAGCCTGAGGCTCATTACAGAGAGAGGAGTGTTGCCCACTCAGCGTTCTGAGATGTACACTTTTCATGTGAACAAAGTAGTCTAAAAAGTTAAAAACAGGGGGCAGCTAGGTGGTGCAGTGGATAGAGCACCAGGCCTGGAGTCAGGAAGACCTGAGTTCAAATCTGGCCTCAGGCCAAACACTTGACACTGACTAGCTGTGTGACCCTGGACAAGCCACTTAACCCCAATTGCAAAAAAAAAAAAAAGTTAAAAACAAACAAAAGAAACATCAAGGAGCCCTGGCTCATGACCCGTTGAAGCTGCATGACTTAGTAGGTAGAGTGCTGGACTCAGAGAAGGGATTTAGGTTCAAATCCCTCCTTAGACACTGGTTGTATGACTGTTCGGAAATCATTTAAGCTCTGTCTCAGTTTCCTCATATTTAAAATGGGAATAAGAATAAACACTGACTTTCAGGGTTTTTATAAGGATGAAATGAAATTTTCAAGCTTTAAGGTGCTTAAAAAATATTAGCTCATAATTTTTAACCTGACAGCTGGGTGGTGCAATGGATAGACTGGTAGGACTAGAGTCAGAAAGACCTGATTCAAATCTGGCCTCAGACATTTACTAGCTGTGTGACCCTGGGCAAGTCACTTAACCCTATCTGCCTCAGTTTTCTCATCTGTAAAATGAGCTGGAGAAGGAAATGGCAAACTACTTGGCAAAACTTTGCCAAGAAAACCCCAAATGGGATCACGAAGACATGGACACAACTGAAATGACTAAACAATAACAACAAAATATTTCACACTTAGAATGTATTCTGGGATGTTTCCTTCAGGTAAAATCAAGGACCTCTTTGACAAAGACAACATTACTGATTCTACAGTGCTGGTGCTGGTAAATGCTGTCTACTTCAAGGCCAAATGGGAAAAAAGTTTTGACTATGAAAAAACAGAAGACTTACCTTTCTGGCTTAACAAGGTAGAAACTTCTAAATACATGTTACTCTAAAGACATCAGTGATTATATCAGTTTTGAGAATAATATTAAATAGATATAGCACGGAGTGGTAGGTAAAGAGTCCACCTCAAAACCAGGAAGAACTGCGACCAAGTTTTCCCTCTTGTACATACTAGCTGTGTGACCCTGGGCAAGTCACTTAACTTCTTAGTATTCTGGGCCAAAGGTGTCAAACTCACAGGTAAGCAAGTAAGGCCAGAAGCAGATTTAAACATAATTGGGAAATGTTCAACAAAATAAATAAAAATCTAATGCAAAATAGATGTTAATTTGTGGTTTTCTAAGTTAATAAGCAGCTGAAGAATCCATTTCTATAAGTTTTACACCTCTGCCCTGGGTAACTTTCTAAGAATATAAATTCTAGAGAAAGTGCTAATCTGTATTGGGAAAGAAAAATTCCTCACCTGTGAGTTCCCAAAGTCAATGAAATCATAGGTTCTGTCTCTATCCCTGTGGTTAATTATAGATATCATGGCCTAACGGAATTTGGGAGTGAGGGAGACCTGGGTTTAAGTATTGTGTGTGACACTTATTGCTTGATCATGACCATCACCACACTGCCCCTCTGAGACTCAGGGAATTCTGTAAAACCTATCCACTAAGCTCCAAGTGTTTTGTGCTCTATATTAGTGGAGGTATTTTCTGCATGGATGAGATCACACATCTTCGACAGACTGAACTATGATTAAGCATGTTTTCTCTGGCCCATATATGAAAAATACCGAGAGTTATTAAGTATCTTTTTGTGTGTGTGTATGCAACTTTTAAATATATCGACATTGGTAACTCAATGGAGAATAAAATATGGACTATCGGTTTTACTTGTTTAATTTCTCATGGATTATAATTCTAAAAATGAGAGTAAGTGGGAAGAATAAGATGTATATTTGAGTTATAATCTGCCATTATCCTTAGCATCTCTTATTGATGTTTAATATATGGTCACTCCCATGTATTAAAGAGCCGTGACTCACAGAGAACAATGCATCAAAAGCCTGAATTCAGAGTAATTTAGATCAGCTAATCATTCTGACTTCAGCAAGTTTCCAAATTCCTGGAAAATGTGCCCCTTTGCCTGAAGCAGCCATGAGCAAGATTGAATGTCTGTGAGAAAGGCTAGCTCTCTCTTAACCTTTCCTGCCTTTGTTGACAGAATGAGCAGAAAAATGTGAAAATGATGAGACAACAGAATACATTTAGAACTGGTTACATTGAGGAATTAAAGACACAGATTCTTGAGATGAATTATATCAAGGGAAATCTCAGCATGTTTGTGCTGCTGCCCTCTTTCCCTGCCGAGGACTCCACTGGACTGGAAGAGGTAAATTTTTATTTTTGTCTCTCTTCTGGGAACTACCTAAACCAGTGAAATCATAGACCAGGTAAAAGCAAACAAATTAACTAAATATGGACTCTGATAAACAAGGGAGTTTCAGAGATGGAGCAACTAGGATGGTGAATAGTTTTGAGTCCATGCCACAAGGGGGAGCAGTTGAAAGGATTGGGGGTGCTTAGCCTAGAGAAAAGAAGACTCAGGGGGACATTAAGGTTGTATTCAAGAATTTTAAAGACTGTCATATGGAAGAAAGATTAAATTTGTTTTTCTTGACTCTAGAGGGAAGAACCAGTAGCAATGAGTGGGAGTTGCAAAGAAGCAAATTTAGTTTAATATAAAGAAAAACTTGCTAACAATTAGAATTGCAAAAGTGGAATGGAAGGGTTCAAGAGGTAGTAGACTTTCCCTCCTTGTAGGTTTTGAAGCCGAGACTGGATGACCATTTATCAAGAACATGCAGTGGGGAGGAGGTATTGGATTAGCTGGTCCTCCAGTCTCTTCTAACTCCAGAATTCTGTGATTCTGGTCATTACACATATAGAAGAGACACCTGTTGACTTTGATTCTGAAGTCCAATTGTACCTCAGCTTTCAGAAATACTTAGAAAATCACACATCAATTAATTAAACAGATATCTGTTCAACAAATTCCTGAATGAAAGAGAATCTGTTCAAACTAAATGGACCTTTCTCTTTTCTTCATAGCCAAAGGGAAAATTTATACCTTCTCAAATCTTACCTTTTTCTATTACAAACCAAGGGAAGGAGTACACCAAAAGTAGGGAAAGGGCCTAGACCGTTGTCTCAGAGAAGTATGCTTCAGTTTCAGCATTAGATTTTCCAGAGGTATCTGTTTATGGACCCGACTGGATAGATTATCAGTGTATTAGACTCTACCCCTCCCCTCTCTTCTCCACCCTCTTCTCCTCCCCTCTCCTCTCCAGTCCCCAATATGGGGTATCTTGCCCTCACCTGAGGGTGTTCTACCCAAAGGAAGGTATCTTGGGGTTTACTGGCCAGATTTCTTTCTTAAAGACCACGTCTCACACCCAATTCACTCTGACTCTCATTGATTCCCTGCCCAAGCACCACTTAAGAGTTATTTTTTGAGCCCTCAAGGCTCAGAGTGAATATAAATAGTAATTGTTTCTCTTTCGACAATCAACCCTAAAGGGGTCTTTCCCTCACAGTTTGATTTTTTTTTATTATTATTAAAGGGGCCATCCCTTGACTCATTTCTTAAACAGGCCTATTTACTGAATGGGCATTACCTCACTCAAAGTGAGAACTAGGAAAGCCCTTAGGTTAAAAATGCCAGGAACTCCCACTGTATCCTAGGCCATCACCAGTCATCCTGATTTATATCTGGCTACTGGATCCCCTATGGCTCCAGAGGAGAAAGTGAGGCTGGTGACTTTGCACAGCCCTCCCACACTTAAACCCAACTCAATTGCAAGTCACATCATGATGTTCCTGATGTCGTGGTCCTCATTGAGAACGAAACAAAAACCAAAACCACAAGACTCCGAAGAGATAGCTAAAGGATCAGGTAGTGTGTCACTACTTCAACTGAAGACAGAAGCATTAAGGTAGATTTTTAAACCAAAAAGGAACTAACCTGGAAGAGTTTTAAAATAAAATATGCTTGGGAGAAACGCTTGCAATATTCAGCACCTGTGGATAGTGACCTAGTTTTCTGAAAACAAACTTCTCATTACTAACAATGGTTATCATTTTTTATCCTGGTAGCTTGAAAAGCAGATGACTCATGAGAAAATAAAAGAATGGACCAGTCCCACTATTATGTGTGAGGAAAAGGTAGATGTTTCCTTTCCCCAATTCACCATGGAAAGCAACTTGGATCTCAACTTTATTCTCCAAAAAATGGGGATCACAGATATCTTTGATGAAGCCAAGTCTGATCTTAGTGGAATGTCTTCAAGCCCCAACCTGTATTTGTCAAAAGCTCTCCACAAGACATTTGTGGAGGTTAATGAGGATGGTACCCAGGCAGCAGCTGCCACTGGAGCTGTGATTACTACAAAGTCTGCGTCACCTCATGTGACATTTAATGCCAATCACCCATTTTTATTTTTCATCAAACACAACAAAACAGACACCATCCTTTTCTATGGCAAAGTCTGCTCACCTTGAGAATGGGTCTATTTCCCTCTACTTTATGGGACAGCAAGAAAATGGTAGCATAACCTCCCTTTGCTATAACATGGGTATTAGGGACCTGAATTAGAGCTTTCAGTCACTTGCCCAATCCCACTAGTCCCAACCCCCAGCCATCTGCCAGTGTCACTTCCTGTTCCTCTCCTGGAAGCTTACTCAACACAATAGTTAGCCAACTATTTCTCTCTTTGCTGACAGTTCCCCTGCCAGCTCCCAGGTCCACTTATCTTCATTGCCCCCGGATTTCCACATCAAGAAAGTTCAGAAAAAAGTTTATTATCTTTCTTATTTTGTTTTCCTGTGTTACTAATGAACCAAGCGAATCAGACCTAGACTACTCAGAAAGGAACTGGTTCTATTAGAGAACCTAGGAAAAACAGAAGCCTGAGATTACTGTTGAGTAGGAAATGTTTTCCATAAATCACACCTGCCTCTGCAGTGGAGATAATAGTCCTGGGATGTGGGGGGGGGAACACAGAAATAAGGGTATATCAACAGGGAAAATATGCTGTCTTTCTTTCTTACAACCTCTTCAGCTGCAGGGAAAATCACTCTCTACTATCAATCAATCTATTAATCCATAAGCATTTATTATGTGTCAGACACTGTGCTAATTCATTTAATAAACACTTATGTCCCTACTATAGAAACTTAAACAGTGCTCCAGTCCACACAAATACCTAGGTTAACACGAAAGGTTGAAAATCAGATTTATTCTCTCCTTTGTAAACAGGAGTGTATTAAGTATGCATCTTCTTTGACGAGAACGGAGATGAGATTTCTCAGGATTTGAATCATAGAAAAATCATGTTTTGTGCACTATAAAAAAAAATCCTCACATCTGTAGACTGAGGAATTTGGGGGAGGGGGAATAGTTAAGCTTTCTTATTTGTCTTCCTTGCTAACATATCATTTATATGGATTTAAAATGTTCTTTTTAAGTAAACAAAGATACTTTGCTAACTAAAATGTCCAAATCGTGTTGCCAAGTAATGAAAAAAAAATTTGTTTTTTATGAACAAAACAATAAAAATGTGAAGTACAATCTACATAACCTATGTCTACATTATTTAAATAGTTAAGGTAGAAAGGAAGGAAGTGCCTATCATGTGCTGGGCATTGTACAAAGTTCTTTACAAATATTATTGAATTAAATTCTAATAATAAGCCTGGGAGGTAAGTGCTATTATTGTTGAGGTCTAGAGGTTTAGGGGTGCTGGGACCCCAAAATCACATGTGGGTCCTGTCTGAATTCGACCCAAGCCTTCTTTCAGCCAGAGACAAGGTTTATTGAAGATCAGCCATATTAGCCAGACTATTAAGGAATCTAAACATTTGAGAGCTATTGGCTAGGTTATAAAAATCTGAACCCTTGGCGAGACTCTTAAAGAATCTAAGCATTGGCCAGATTATAAGAATTTGAGCACCTTAATAGAGACAAGATGGACCTTATATGTAGAAAGACTGTGGAAAGGATCTAGGAGTGGCCAAGTAGTTTGGGGTGACTGGAGGAGGGGTCTAAGGAGGATCTGGATGGGAGTGACCAGTAAGCTGGGGGACCTGTATGCCAGGGACCTGGTCCATGTGGCCAAGGGAGTATGGAGTCCAGCTATGGAGTCCAGGATTAAGGGTGGGAAGTGGCCAGGGGCAATCGGGAGGAAACAGAACTGAATTGGGAGATTGGGTGTAGCCTCAATGAAAAGTCAGTTGATAGGAACATAGCCTCAGATAAAAAAGTCAGAGATTTAGCCAGGTGGGAAAGTCCAGGGGCTTTTCCTTTTAGGGGTTCAGATCCCATCCCCATCATTATGATCCTCATTTTACAGTTGAGGAAATTGAGGCAGACAGAGGTTAAGTGACTTGCCCAGGGTCAAACAGCTAGGTATAAAAGATGGGTATAAAAGATTCTGGTTTGTGGAACTGCTAAATTCAATCCCAGGTATCCCAGGGAAGCTGTGGTGGCAGGTAAAGTTGTCACACTGTCAAAAGTTCAAAGAAAGGTTTCAAATGAGAATATTCATTTATACAATACAGAAAAAGAAATTCCTCCCATGCAAAATTCTCTAGATATCAGATGACAAAGAGTAGCAGCACCCTTCAGATTTTTTGACACCTTTTCTGACTGTATAAAAAGTCAATTATAGAGAGCATTGGATGGAGGCATTAGTAGAAGCTTGGCCACTTGTACGTGTTTCACAGTCTGCCTGAGGTTAAAGAGTTACACACATAAACTCCCAAGACCCACTCTAACCTTAACAGTTGTGGCCTGTCATAAGGCCCTGAGTTTAATTCCCAGCTGTTACTTAGGTCTAACCTCTACCAGCCTCATTTTCCTCATCTATACAAAGGAGAAGATTGGACTAGATTTACCTCTGAAGTCTCTTCTAATCTAGTCTAAATCTACAATATTAAAGCTTAACTAGGAGTTAAAGTGTTATCCTACCTGAAATGGGGTTGCGAAGTGGAGGGAGATACATAAGAGGCAAAGCAGTCCTTCAGAATCTTCTCAGTTTTATAAGAATCCAAGTTCATCCCCCCCCCAATCATTTTGGATGGGAAGACAGCCCACATCAAATCTATCTAACTGGATTTAAATCATATTTCTATGATCCTACTTAGAATTGCTATTGCTATGTCTATAAAGAAAATAATAATAAAATAAAGCCTTTCTGCCCTCTCATGTCCAGCAAAATAAATGGAGTTGGAGTTTATCATTGAGAAACAGACTATAAAATACCCGCTGATCATTATCATGTTTCCTCTCCATTGTAGCCCTCTGTTCTCTAGTCTAAATAGCAACAATTTCTTTAGGAATGGGGGGCAAGAATAGGGACAGGAGTCTCCCTCACTTAATCATGGTTTGAGTTCAGATGGCTCTGAGTAAGTGTAAATTGCAATTGTTTCTCCTATTGTCCAGAAACCCTGAGGGTCTTTTCCCAGATGGATTTTTTTTTCTTGATTTTTTTCCCCTTATCTTGACTAGGTAAAAGAGGCCATTCTTTGACTCATTTCCTACCTAGCCTTAATCACTGTGTGGGCCTTGCCTCAGACAAACTGAGACCTGGGAAAGACCTTAGCTTAAAAAGGCCAAGGTCTCCCATAAAATCCGGGGCCATCTCCTGTCATCCAGATTTGCAGCTTGCCTTCCTGATGTCCTGGTGGTCCTCTTTAAGAACCAAGGACAAATAACAACAAACATCAAACAGCCTACGAGGGAGGGAGATGGGGTGGGGCACAACAAGCATTTTTAAAGTTCCTGCATTGTGTTAAGCACTTTACAAAAATCTCATTTGTTCCTCACAATTTTGGTGAGGGAGGTGCTATTCTTTTACAATTTAGGAAACTGAGGCAGACGACGTTTTAGTGACTTGCCCCGGGTCCTGCAGGTATAAGTGTCAGAGGCTGGATTAAGAGCTCAATTCTTCCTGACTCCTGGCCATGGGCTCTATTCACTGGGTTACCTAGCGGCCTCAGGACTCATACAGCTGTGCATTCCAAGCCCTTAGTTTGCCCTGCTCTGGATCTCCTCTAGCTTATTTATATCCTTCCTTAAACGTGCTGGCCAGAACTCAATGCAGTACTCTGGACGTGGGGTCTGACCACAGTACACAAGGCGCACCACCTACCTAGTCTTGGCCACTTTGACTCACAATGCAAGTGAAGATCATGAAAACTTGTAGCCTCAGATCTTTTTTGGTGAAACTGCCATTATCGGTATATTTGAGTTTTCAAACATAAAGACTTTTCATTTATTTATCTCTATTAAATTGCATCTTATTAAACTGACCTGGCTCATACAGTTGGTCAAGCGCTTTTTAGACCTTTCCTGTTGCAGTTTTGTTTCATCTCCAGACAAACTGCTGCAAACAGGCTGAACTGGGTAGTGAGATCGACGTGGATTTGACTCTCATCTTCAAAATCACTCGTGTGACCCTAAGCAAGTCACTTAACCCGTCTCTGTTTTTCCTATCTGCAAAATGAGGCAGCTACTTGGCCACGACCCCTAGCAGCCAATCATAAGCTGATTATTAACCGCCAGACCCGCCTTTATCGTCGATAAAACCGCGGGGCCCTCCGAGCACAGTCCCTCCCCCTTAGGGAATTTGCACTGGCAACCTCTTTGCGAGAAGGCCCAGAGCCAGTTAAAGCTGGGCTCTTTGCGTGGGGCCGTTCGGCGCATTCCGCATCCTCTCCTCCCACTCGTCGCGCGCTCTGCGGCAGCAGCCCGGGAGCTCGCGCACTAGGCAGCACGAGACCCGCTGAGCCGCAGCCTGGGAGCTCGCGCACCAGGTAGCAGGGACCACCCTCTCGTCAGGCGTTCAGCAGCAGCCCGGGAGCTCACGCGCCAGGCAGCATGAGCCGCTCCGCTCCTTCTACTCGTCAGAGCCTCAGCGGAAGGAACGCTCGGTAAAAGGGTAGTTACCTCGCGAGAGTCGGCGTGGGCGCGCGGGGGGGGGGGTGAACTGAGCAGGCGCTATGGCTGCGGCGGCGGCAGCGACGGTTGGGAACGGAGCCGTCACCCCAGCGACCGGCGGCCCCTTGGCCGGCTCCTATCGGCCCTTTGAGCCGCAGGCGCTGGGGCTGAGCCCCAACTGGCGCCTGACGAGCTTCTCGGACATGAAGGGATGAGGCTGCAAGGTCCCCCAGGAGGCGCTGCTCACGCTCCTGGCGGGACTGACGCGGCCGGAGGAGCGGGCCCCGCGGGCCCCCGGCCTAGGCCTCGGCTTCGGGGACAGTGCGGCGGACGAGGCCGCGGGGCCGGCCGCCCAGGAGCCCGCAGACCCCGGGCCCTTCCTTCCGGCCGCGCTGGGCGCCAGCCCCGCCCCCCCTACCCTGGGCATCGGCATGGACTCGTGCGTGATCCCTCTGAGACACGGCGGGCTCTCGCTCGTGCAGACCACCGACTTTTTCTACCCTCTGGTGGAGGACCCCTACATGATGGGGCGGATCGCCTGTGCCAACGTGCTGAGTGATCTTTATGCCATGGGCATTACCGAATGTGATAATATGCTGATGTTACTCAGTGTCAGCCAGAAGATGAATGAGGAGGAGAAAGAAAAAATTATGCCTCTTATGATCAAAGGCTTTAGGGATGCGGCTGAGGAAGGAGGAACGTCAGTGACAGGGGGGCAGACGGTGATAAACCCCTGGATCATAATTGGAGGGGTTGCTACTGTGGTCTGTCAACCTAACGAGTTCATCATGCCAGATAGTGCTGTTCCTGGCGATGTGCTGGTGTTAACCAAACCTTTGGGCACTCAGGTGGCGGTCAATGCCCACCAGTGGCTGGATAATCCGGAGAGGTGGAATAAGATAAAGTTGGTGGTAACCAGAGAAGATGTAGAATTGGCCTATCAGGAAGCTATGTTTAGTATGGCCATGCTGAATAGAACTGCAGCTGGATTGATGCACACTTTTAATGCACATGCTGCCACTGATGTCACTGGCTTTGGAATCTTGGGACATGCCCAGAACCTTGCAAGGCAACAAAGAAGTCAAGTATCCTTTGTCATTCATAATCTCCCAATCATCGCTAAAATGGCTGCTATTAGTAAGGCCAGTGGGCGTTTTGGGCTTCTCCAGGGAACATCTGCAGAAACCTCTGGGGGTTTACTGATTTGTTTGCCCCGAGAGCATGCAGCTCGCTTCTGTGCTGAAATTAAGTCTCCGAAATATGGAGAGGGTCACCAAGCATGGATTATTGGCATTGTGGAAAAAGGAAACCAGACAGCCCGCATTATCGACAAACCAGGGATTATTGAAGTTACACCACGTGGAGCCACTGTACCTCTTCATCCCAATAATTCCCATGCTAGCCTTGAGCCTGGTTCATGAGATGGCAAAGCAGCATTTATTTGGACCTTATAGACTTTTGGACACAATCATGGATCGTTTTACAGGACTACTTATTGTTTTGGGGAAGGGGAAATTTCCAAAGAAACTTGTTGAATGGTAAAGTTGCCCTCTTGGGTGACTTTATTTAATGAGCCAGTTAAGGAAAACAGCTGCTTTTGTGCTTATTTCCATGTCATAAA